TGGTGATTTGTAAACATAAACTTGATAGATCTGACACTAATGAATACGTTTCTGACTAGATTCTCACAAAACTTTACGATCAAATCAGAATATGAAAAGTCACAAAATTGTTAAACACGAAAAGACACAACCTGGATTTGGAGATTTGCTCTGATACCACTTGATATGATCATAGATGTGGATCAAGCCCTGGACTACTCTCCAAAGGTTGCAATCACAAGGTTAAGCGACTTGATAGATTGCAGAACGAAGTGAATTGATATGGTCTTGTGAAATATGGTGGAACTCGGTGAAACGCCTTGATATTGTGTTTAAGAGTCGTCACCATTCACAAATCACCCATAGGTAGGTTTCCACTCCTATGTTTGTTTTGCTCTCCCAAACTAGATCTGACACCGGATGAATACTTTTGTATCACCAAGAATCTGAATCAGATTGTAGTTCATGACGCTACTCCCATGCATTAAAAGTACATTCAGAAGAAAAAGTTCTAGGATTCAGCTTCAATAACTGATGGAATCCTCATCGAACACATGTATCCCCATCAAAAATCTCTTTGAACCAACAATAAAACTACTCAGACATGATGAACGAAATCAAAAACATAGTATTAAAAAGTTGAGCAATAATTGAAATTGAAGAAGAAAGAAAAAGGGTTCCAGAGATAGATCTCTATCTCACTTAAAGCTAAAGTATTGAAAAACCTAAAAAGTAAATAAAAGCATAGGAAATGATGATGGTTGATACGAATTAGGGTTTTTAAAACATGTATTTATAGTGCTCAAGCCATTTCTGGGCGTCACTTAGGGTTTCTCCAAATGAGAGAATCATTTTGGACTTCATAAATGGGCCTTCTAACTTGGAGATGGCTGGCCGCGGTCGGAAAGGACGTGGCCGCGGGGAATGGATGCTTGGCCACGGTTGGGTAGCCTCTGACCGTGGTGAAATGGCTGTTAGCCGCGGGTGAAAAGGATTGCCGGCTGGTTTACGGGACATCTTGCTCTTCGCGTAACTTTTGATTGAACCGTTGGATTTCCAAGCTGTAAAGTGTGCTGTAAAGCTGATAGTTCCATCTTTGAGGTATCTATATTTGACCAGTATCAGACGGTGAGAAGGTCTTCAATCGGGGGTGAACTTCTGACTGTTTGACTCTGAGCTGAAAATCTGGTCTTCAATTCATTTTATTAAGCTTTTCCGTAAGATTCCTGAAAAGAGTCTTGGAACTATAAATACTAGAAAAACATAATAAAAGTACTTGGAAGAAATAAAAAATATAGAAAAAGTATTTCAAAACGATCCACAAAAGTGGTCAAAATACGGTGTTATCAATATCATCTGGAATTACCCATTGTGAACAATGAGGAACAAGGTATACCGTCCTGGAATATGCAAGTGTCCACAAATCAGTAGTATAATACTTCGAGCATAAATCATGCGAGTGTATGTCCTCACTTCTATCTTCTCTGGCCATAAAAATCCTCACTGTGGCAAGTGCATGGACGCAATGATATTTGTCTATATCAAAACGTCTGCATGAGCAAGATTTGATTTTCAAGTTTACCAGAGAAGTCTTCCCATCTCCCCCGACCACAGCGTATTTAAGCAGAAACAAGTTCAGCTCAATCACATTTAGGGAAGTCGCAATTTCAACACTCATGTGTAGTACATTTTCTACATAAGGAACCAGTTTATGTGCTCCAGGTTCTGTAGTAGCCTCCTTCCTATGTTTGTTACACCACTCAGATACCTTTGCTAAAACGGCATCCATCATAGGTAATAAAACATACTTCCTCGTATCATCAAACACGCTATTCAAAGACTCTACATGGTTACTAGTGTTGATGTTGTACTTTTCTCCCGGCAAAAAGCACCTTGCCCATTTTTCCTCATGCAATCTATTACATAAATACGTAGTTGCATCTGGATACCTTTCTCCCAGTTGACCATAAGCCTCAAGAAACTCAGCCTCTGTATACTTCTTTGCACATTCCATTAACTTGCATACAACTAAATATTTCTCTCTCCGAATGCTCGCTTTCACATTCTGGGCCAAATGATATATGCAAAAACCATGTTTAGCTTGCGGGTACACATCCCTTATTGCATTGATCAGACTTTGATTCCTCTCCGAAATAAACACCAATTCAGAACTGTCAGGTATACGAGTTTTAAGGTTACTGAAAAACTAGTTCCAACTATCATTCTTTTCCCCATTGACTACCCCAAAAGAAATGGGATAATGGTGATAATTCGGATCCTGAGCTGTTGCAAATACAAGGCATCCACCAAATCAATTCTTCAAAAAAGTTGCATCAACAATTATCACTTTCCTCATTGCCCCAAACCTTTCAATGGTAGGACCCAGAGCAACGGATAAGTACTTGAATCTACCAAATTCATCCACTTCAACACTTGATGTTGTACCTGGATTAACCTGCTCTAGCATGTACAAATACGAATGCAGATGCTCGAAACTCTCTTCTGGAGTACCACGAACATAACTTATATCTTTCTGTCTGCCTCTCCAAGCCATAGAGTATGATACTTCCACACGACCTTTTGTTTGAACCAAACGCATGATATCTTTAGGAGTTGGTGGTTTTAATTAACCTGGGTTAGTTTTACTAATAACTCCGTTTGCTGATTGTACACGCAGAAGCCCGAGAGTAATAATGCATTTTCCTATATACCCTAACCGTGAAAATATTTGAGTGAGCTGTCCTAGCGGCATTTATATACAGTTACATCCAGCTTCAGCTTGACCCCATTTCACATAGTATCGACTCTGATCAGACTTGTGTACAGTGATGCCAAAACAATGCTTATGAGAACCTCAGTAAACTAAATCTATTAGATCCTGCTTACAGCTAAACTCTGCACCTACTCTCAGATTTAAACCATCTTCCCATTCACGTTCAATACATTGTTCGTCTACACATTCTGGAGGATCAACAATATCAAGCATTCGATATTTTTTACTTATGTTATCTTGATCTCCACCGTTTTCCTCATTCTCACGAGATAAATTCACACCCTCGTCATTCTCCATCACTGGCACATGTTGTTATTGTTCTGTTGAACCGTTTCCTCTGTAAATAATAATAGCACCATCATTAAATTTAGTATTGTGGTCAACAAAAACGCCATCAGTTGCTATATCATTAGCTGTGCTCACCTCCCTAACATTCACATTAACAGGATTTACCCTCTCTACACGTGAAACTTGCTCGGCCACCTCAGATACTCCATCTACATTGATGACCTCTACATGCAAAGACACTTCTGCGTCCCTCTTTTTTGAACGACGTCAGATTGATACCGTGATCATCGTCATCAAAAATATACCATTGTTTTTTCGTTTGTACTAGTACCGGAATATAACTCAATTTCAACTTTATCGACGATTGCCCTATCCCAACCTTCTTGCATATCCTACCCACTAAATCGGAATAGCTTATCTCCTCTAAGCTTGATGTCTTAAACATTATACCGTACATGGAACCTTCTCTTGAAATCCATTTATCATCGATACTTGAATAATGTCCTCCATAATCAAACAGTACGTTTGTTATCATTGTGTTCTGAAAAAAAAAATTTAACACTGCATATCAACTTAACTCATTAATACCACTTGTTCCGAGTTATAAGAAAACTCCTAGTATTACCAAATTGTTCTAGTTATCATGAATCTGCGAATTTGAAGTACAACTAAAATCTACTTAAGATTAAACATCAACAGTCCATTAAAAGCATACATGACCCAATGTGAATAAAAAAAATGAACTTTCCCCATTTTAAAATGTTCTATTTTGTAAATCGAAATTATATCCCAACACAATTGTTCCTGTGCAACATCGACTCAGTTAACGACTTCTCAATAAAATACAGAGGCCGAGGAAGAAGACTAACTTACCTGGTGCTTCAGCGTTTGAATGAAAGTGGAAAAGTTTCGTCGAATTTTCCGAATTAAATCGTGAGTCTATGTTGCAAACCCAATTTTCTGATTTCAGCAAACCCAGTCGATTAATAAGGGGAAACAGAGTCGACATAATTTCTGATTGGCTGAAATTTAGGTCCGAACTATTTTTATTGGCTGAAACCTCCCTATTTCCTATTGGTCGATATTTCCTACCAACACTTTTGATTGGATGAAATTATCAAATTCTTATTGGGTGATTAATCATTTTGGTTATTCACCGAAATTAAGGGTAATAAGGAAATAACAAGTATCATTAAAAGAGAGGAGACCACTGAACTTGTCCGCAAAATGTTTTTATTGGCTGAATTTTCCTTTTTTCCTATTGGTCGACAATTTCCACCAAACCTTCTGATTAGCTGAATTTTCTCAATTCTCATTGGTCGATTATTTATTTTTTTATTCACAATTAAGGATAATTAGGGATAACACATTTTATTAAAAAAAAAGGGAACCACCATTAGTATAAGAGAATGATTTAGGCAGTCTAGATTATTTTATCACAACTTACTGATAGACGAAAATTTCGTCCTACTTTTAGTGCAATCTTACATCTTGCTTTTGTTTATGCATTATAGTTAGATAAACCCCAATGTCCTTAATTTGCTTACCTTAAGTCATATCTTGCATTCTTAATAAGTTATTTTTTATCCTCCCTTAAATTGATCCCTAAATACTATAATGATAAAGTGTTTGGGTAATTGATTTGGATACAGACAATTATTCTTCATCACAGTACAAAATTTATATGGACCAGTTATATATTCGTACTAAGAATTAGGTTAAATTAAGTCAAAATTGAAATAATGAATATATTATTTTTGATTTTACCAAATAGTTATAGAAATTTATACTATGACAATTTAGTATGTTGACCAAAATAAATTTTTAGTTGACCAATAATAAGAAAATTGTTGACCACACCAAACTAACTAAGCCTTTAAATTAACCCCTTACTTATTCACGAATATAAAAAGGTGGCGATAACTCCCGAGAGGAATACGTACTCAACATAACAGTTAAAATGAATAAGACCGAATATATATTTTCAGTATTATATTATGTTTCAATACTATCAGTGATCGTTATTGTTGATGCTAGGGGTCGTGGAGGTAGAGTCTTCGATAAGAACTATGTTGTTACATGGGGAAATATCTTGAAATTCAACCAAGGCAGAGAAGTTCAGCTCCTCATGGATAAAGCTTCAGGTTCAATGAGTTCTTCCTTTCTTTATACGGAATCGCCGAATTATAAACTTTTTTTTATATATGATGTTGCATATAATAAGATCTTTAAATAAAGTTATCGAGTGAATGTAGTCGTCGAATAGTCCATTTCTTGAATTTTCTAATAACTCTAATGTCTGGCCAAATTGAAGCGGTTAGATAATAACCAAGTGGTAATCGATTCTGTAAACACTAAATTATCTAACCACTTTCATTTGGCCTGTCGAAATGGTATCATGCTTTAAACCTATTTAATAAACCCGGTATGTGTTGTTCCATATAGCTCCGTTTCACTTAGATGATTAATTGGGTGGTAAAAGCCCGAATTACCTTATCATTATCAAACATATAAAAGTCTCCCTATAATAACAAAAATTACGTTGTATAAGACAAAAAAGAAAAAAGAGAGAAATTTTAAATTGTGTGAGAAAACCTGACGTATATTACAAACAGGTTCTGCTTTTGAGTCTAAACATAATTACGGATCAGGATTCTTTCAAATGAGAATCAAACTGCCTTTAAGAGATTCCGCTGGAGTTGTTACAGCTTTTTACGTACGCTCACATCTTATTACATTCATTGCAAAAAATTTCTTTCATTACATTAATTTGAGTTTTCAAAACATTATGAATGTGTTACTTTTTTTCATTTGGTTACAGTTGACTTCGAAGGGAAACGCACACGACGAGCTGGACTTTGAGTTCTTGGGGAATAGAGGAGGAAAACCAATAGCAATTCAAACAAACGTGTTTACTAATGGTCAAGGAAATAGAGAACAAAAGTTTGTTCTTTGGTTCGATCCAACCACAAATTTCCACACTTATGGGATTCTCTGGAATCCGTATCATATTGTGTATGATCTTTCTCCCTCTTTTTCTTTTCATTTTTTTTTAAAACCTATTCGATGCATTTTAAATTAGCTTTTATATATGAATGAGGGGTATTATAATAAATAAAATTTTAACAAACTTATTGATTCATTTATTTTAAAAGAACTAATTTATTTATTTGCATTGAAAATAAATTTTCTTTTGTCATCATAGAAAATAGGAACATAAGTCATAAGCTATCAGTATGAACAGTATTCTACTATAAAAGGCAAACAAAAAATTCAAAGGGAAACAAAAATAAAAACAAAGATAAACTAAAACGTTAGACTCAACAAATCCTAACAATTAGTAATCATTTCACGATTATATTTTGTACAAAACCATGATGATCTGATAATAGAATTTTTCTTTTGACAATAATAGGTTTTATGTGGACAAAGTCCCAATAAGGATATTTAAGAATAAGAAAAGATTTGGTGTAGGCTATCCATCAAAGCCGATGAAAGTTGTGGCTAGTCTATGGAACGGAGAGGACTGGGCGACAGACGGTGGTAAGGCCAAGATTAATTGGTCTTACGCTCCTTTTAAAGCCAACTTCCAAAGGTTTTTCGATTCTGGTTGTCATATGGATGGTCAGAAACAGAGCGGAAAATTTTGTGGTTCAGCAATATACTGGTGGAATAGGAGGATTTATAGTAGGTTAACTGAAAATGAAGAGAAGGCATTCAAGCATGTGAGAACGAAGTACATGAACTACGATTATTGTTCTGATCGCCCTAGATTTCCTGTTCCTCCTATTGAATGTAGATGGAATCAGTGATAATTAATATTTGATCTCCTATATTCATTGGAAGACATTTGAATCTTTAGCAGAAAAAGAAAAAAAAAATAATGTTTGACTAATACATTATCATTTTATATATATACATAAATATATATATAATGTATGTATTTTTTTTTTTCTCGAGTTTCCTTTTATATATTTGGTTGGGCCACTAATTCAAAATCCCATTGTTTTGTCGCTTTTGGGAGTTGGCTCCTGTAATCGAATTAAGTTTACTATGCACACATCTGATTATTCAAGGTTCCAATCGAAAAAAGTAGGATATGATTATGTATGTTTGCAGAATGTAATTTTACATTCTCAGTCATTGAGGAATAAGAGTTTGACAAAAAGATTAACATTTGGTAATTATCAAGCAAGGTGAACATTTTGAGAAAAAAATATTATTCAACAAACTTCTTGCAGTATATATGCTGGTTTAATGTAATTTTACTGAAAGATTTTTTTTATTACATTGTGAAAGAAGGAAAAATGATATGTACCTACATTAAGTATAGACTATCACATGGCCAAACATCTGGAAAAAATCATTGCACCCCTAACTACATGAACTTTATGATAGCCATAACATCATGTATGTATTAATATTAATGATGTGTTTAACATCATAACCTTCTCGGAAGATACCGGACGGGTTCACTAGACATTGGAATCCAACACTGGACATTGGAAACCATCACAGGCCGATATGAATCCGATTAAACATTAAAAAAACACAAGCCGACCAAATTGACCATACCTGGAAACCTAAATAAACTCAACAACCGAAACCTAAAACCTACCCGAGTGTACAGACTAGGAAACAAACATTTTTCTCTCGGCAAGATCGTCTTATTCATCAAACCGAACTCACAAAGAATATCAAAGATCAGAACTTCGAAGTCAGTGGCTGCCATTGAATCAATTTTTACTCTTACATATTGAATTTTTAGTTCGATAGATATAAGATATGTGATATGCATATAGGTTGTTTGATAAAATGTCAAACCAAGAATAACTTTGTTTTTCTAGATGGGTTAAGCTCGATATTATCAAGTAACATTAGGAGAAAAACAGTGGGGGTAAGGAAAATGTGTGAATGTTGATTATCTGCAATGATTTTGATGCCATGGATGGATAAGAATCCGAGTCGAAGATTCTTAGGGTGTGAGTTGTATAAGGTATTGTTAGACTGAATTTGGTGATTGTGACTTAATATTTTGTTTTGTTATAAATGTTATTCGTGAATAGGAGGGTGAGATGGATAAATACAAGTACTTTGGGTGGTTTGATGAAGAAGAGGTGAATGGATGGCCAAAGATATCACTGATGAAAGCTCAAGATGAAATATGTGGGAAGAATAAGGTGATCAATCAACTAATAACGACAATCAAGGAACTTCATATGGACTTAGAAAACCATCAGTTGGAGCACCAATAGTTAGTGAGGATGAAGGGAACAATTATGTGGAATCAGAATGTGAGCTTGGATGGAAGACAAAGCTTAATGAAGTTCAAAATTTTGTGTATCGACAACATATCATCATCTCAGGGCTGACGTGATTGCTTGTATATGGAGTCGGAGTCATTGTGTTTGGTTGATATATCATGAATTCTCATTTTAAGTATCTACTCTTTGACTTTTCATTGTATTGACTTTCTTTGTAATGACTTATCTTGTGTTTATATAATGAATCTTTTGTTTTTTTTTCTTATTTACCTACAAGAATAGGAACATCATATAACAAAGACGAGGTAAAACCAAAAGGTGAATACCATAACCCCGAACATCAAAATGCCACAACAAAAGTTTACAAACGAAGCATCATCCAAAAAGTGAATACAATAACCCCGAGAATATATAACAACATGTAAATACAGACCCACAACCATAAGAACATGTAGAAACATGTAAAAACAGACCCAACTATCCCAAAGAATCAAACATTTGTTCCCCAAAACCAACACACATGAATTTCTAAAATATAAAACTTCAAGCGTCATTCCCAAAGGGCAAATTAACCAACCGGCTGTTTTTTCTGAGTCCTTACCTTGGCTGCCCTTTCCTTGGGTTACTTCCGGTCCTTGGCTTGGTTGGGTTACTTCCAGTGCAGTTGACAAGATTTCATGCACTTCAACTTAATCCTCCATCTTAGTTGTGAAATCTGCATCCATTTCAGCTATTGAGTGTTTTCTTCAGCTTGCCTTTGAGCATCCATTTCAACTTTCTACATGCACAGGTATGGTTCCTCAAGTGGACCAAATATCTAGTAACACCACTTTCGACAATCTCTCTAACCAGTGCTAGAAACATAATAACAATGTCGAGCTCCTTCAGAAAATTACTCCATCCGTTTTCTTGCTTTCTTTGTGTGCTTCATGAGTTCACAATATTTTGTCCAAATGTGTAGCCATGTGGTGGTCTATATTTTGTGTATCTATTGATAACAACGGATTTTGACCCTTTTTATGGATCACTTTAGTATCTTTTGCAGGTGTTTTTACTCTTTTTTCAAAGGTTTTCAAAGGATTTCTATGTTTTCGGATTACTTTTCAAGTAATTTGGGATTAAGAGGTGTAAATTGGAACAAAAAGACTCTTTTGGATAAATTCAGACTGTCAGAACTCTCATGGAAGACGAAGACCTTCTAACCATCTGATCACCCTCAAAATTAGAAAACTAATAGAAGACTCAACCAGCTTTCAAATGCACTTGGTTTGGAGACATTCCAACGATTGGATCTCAAGATATTCCATTTGCCCCGGAGACACTGATATGTTCATAATTTACATCATTTAGGTTGTATAATTCATTCCAAATCATGTTTTATTTCATGCATTTTAGGCCTTTAGGTGCTGTTTTAGGGCTTAGGGGTTGCATTAGGTCCCAAAGAGTCTTTGCATGGTTTGGAGTGTTTATCAGGTGTATTTGGAGCTATTTGGAGCTGAAAAGGTGAAACCAGGAAAAGAAATGGTGATCAGAGCTTTAAAAATGATGAAAACAGCCTTTTGGAGGTTCTCGGCGATAGCCTGTGCCGCAGGCAGCTTTTTCTCGGCAATTTTCATGTATCGCGGGTGGATTTCTCGGCCGAAACATGTACCAGCTGTTCAAGTTTCTCGGTCAAAAATCTCGTGTGCAGATACGTCTCCAAAATCGCTTTACCGGAAGGTCTTTCCGGCCGATTCAGCCTCCGGTGTCTTCATCAAAGATCAAGATAATTGAGTGTAGATCTCAGAACTGTTGGAATCGATGAGTTTGGAGAAGCGAGCTGAATCCACCGGAAGACAGACCTCTCTCGAGTGCATTCCAGAGCAATCCGATACGTCTGGAAAGATCGCCTGTCCGGGGAGTTTTATCGTCCGATTCAGATTACAGGATCTTCAGAAAGGTTGGAGATAAGCAAGTCATGGATCCATAACAGGTGGAATCATTGGATTTGGACTCGTGACCTGAGAGTTAAGCTCACCGGAAGACACACCTGTCTCGTGACAGTTTCAAGACCGATCCGATTAGTCACAAAGATTGCGTGGGACGATGCCTTTCCAGTCTGATTCAGTTGCTGGGGCCTTCATCAGGATTCAATGTCTTTTCGTGCTCTTTCCATAACGTCAAAGATCATCCAGTTTGGACCTGTGTGCTGAACGATACCATCTCCGGAGTGAACACTGGTCCAAGAGCTTCTTTTTGTTCGTTTCAATGCGCTGCAGAGATGAGCCGTCCGGGGAACCTTCCACTTCCCAAGCGCTGATAGTTTCTTCACTAAAGTTTGAGATATTTGAGTTCTATTTCCATTAAAGTTGGAATCATGCCATTTGTATCAATATCATGGAAGTTACGCTCCCCTGAATGCGAAGTGGTCCGAGTGCGACTTAGGCATGCGAGTTGGCCGAGGAGCGAACTGAACCGCAGAAAGACTCGCGGTTTACACCGACTTGGGCCTGCGACGTGGGACTAAAGGAGGTCCAACTCGCACACATATTATCTCCAGAATGCCTCTTGGTTGTGCGAGTTGAAGAGAAGAAAGCGTGAACAGCACAAACACTCGCGGTTTACACCTAGATAGGCATGCGACTGAGGCTGAGGGATTTATGGCGCACAAGGCTGTTTCTATGGCTGTGCGACTTGAGCCTGCGACTTGGGAAGCACCTGACCATGTCGCACACTTGAGACATGACCCATTTGAAGCCGGGTCAGTACCCAGTTTGTCCTGGACTGACCCGGTCCATAACACTTAGTATAAATACTTTTTTGGGAGAAAACCCTAAGAACCTTATCTTCTCTCTTAGTTTCTCTCTTGTTTTCTTTCCTTTTCAGTGTAAAAACGTTTTTGATTAAGAGATATCTTGCAGATTTAATCATCTAAAAGCTGTTTCTTATCATTGCATCATCTCATCTTAACTTCTAATCATGATCAACATCACCTCTTGCAAATGAAATGGTGTGTTCATCATGATTAGTGAGTAGTCTTCTTTTAAACTTCTAGGTGTGTAGATTAGGGTGCTTAGATGTAGATTAATGATTATTTAAGCTTAGATTCTCTTCTCCTTTCCTTAATTAGCTGAACCTAATGCTAGATCTCTCATTATAAGCTTGATCTAGAACTAAGGCATTTCTCCACCCACAAGGTGTTTGATGAAATGCCTGAATGAGCTAACTTAAGGGTTTATGCCTTTTTCATCATGGGAATGATTGTTAAATGCATGAATGACATATTAGAACTGTTTCTTATTGCTCATTGATTCATATTTCACAAATGATGATTTGGTTTGAAAATGGATTAGTGTAGAGGTTAATGCTTTCATGAGAGGATTAATCTAGATTATAGTTCTAAGTTAATTGGAATTTGAGATCATGTGATGCTTGCTTTATCTTTCTGTATAAGATTCAGTCTTTCTTAGCTCTTATTTTGATGCACAAAGAGGCTGTCTGGTCATTTTAGACTTGGAACCTTATGCTTGTTGATTGCTTATTCATCTAATGGGAATTAGTCTTGATTTGGTAATTAACAGAGAGATTTTTGTCATGAGAATGAATTAATCTGATTTAGAAGTCTAGACTAAAGAATTGCAAGTGTTGCATTGTTTGCTTAGCATCATGAATTCACATTTAAAGCACCATAATCAATGATCACATCTAGAGGTTTAGCTTTATCTTTATTTGAATTTGAGTCTTTGTTTTGTTTGTCTTGTTTGCTTGTTTAATTCTTAATTACTGCTTGTTCTTGTTTGCTTTATGTTTTTAGATCACTTAATCACCAACCTGTTTCATTAGACTTGGATTAAGAGTTGATCCTCATAGTCTTGGTGCCTAGATAATCTCCATTTGGATTGACCCTCAAGTGCTACAATACAAGAGGTTAATTGACCTTAGTAGGCTAAAAAATCCTACTATCAGACACTCGAAGACAGCCAGCAAGCCACGCGATCGCGGCCAGCAGCCCATCCACCGCGGCCAGAGCCACGCGACTGCGGCCAAGCCTTCATTCCCCATGGTCATAGCCCACACGACCGCGACCAGACATCTCCGACCTAAAAAGCCCATTTCTGAAGCCCAAGTAATTTCCCAGCCTCAATTCCGAAACCTAGAGACCCTAGAGTATTGGAAACTATAAATACTTGTCATTTAGGTCGTTTTTAAACATCATCTTGCATACTTTTACAGAAACTCTTTTTTCAACCATTTTATGCAATTTTTAGAGTGTTGTTCAACTCTGAGTTCATCAATAGAGAAGCTTTCTTTCATCTCTTTTCTTTACTGTTTTTGATTGCTTTCATTAAAACCATTGATGATGTCGACCTAGCCATGGCTGAGTAGATCCCGAGTTGGGCTTAGGATTCCCAAAAAGGGCTCTCATAATTGATTAACACATCTAGGTTTTAAGATCTGGGATTTTAACTATGTTCTCTGCTTATTCTCATCTTTAATGCATGTATGCTTGATTGATCACCTCGTATCTGATCTAGATAGTTAGTGTTGCGAAAGTTTTCATTAAGTATCCGACCTAGAATGAAACAGGCGATTTTTCTGTAAGAGTGGAAACCTACCTGCGGCGAAATCGTGAGTACTGACGAGTCCTGTAGAGCTTTTGCGTTTTCTCCCCTCCAGGACCACAGTGGAAATCTACTGGTCAGGGTTGTGAGAAACAGTTGGTGTATGATCACGATTGTGACATAGTCATACCGCCGAACTCTAGCTCTAGAACCCTAAATTTCGATATCCGTCAATCCCAATCTAAAATCCCTAGTGTTGAACCGATTATGATACCTGAAGAGTAACCGATTAGTCATAGTTTACAAACCAAAAGATATTTACTTGTTTCTTTAGATCTGCATTTTATTTGCCTTAGTTCGATTTTCTGCTTGTTTAAATTGCTTCCATTCGATTTCGTACTTGTTTTTTTAGGATAGATTCATTTGCTTTCTTTAGTTTTAGTTTAATCAGTGACAAACAACAACCCCTTTAAAACCGATTTAGTCTAGACATAAACTTAGAAATCATAGAAAAATACCAGGCACACAAATCCCTGTGGATTCAATCCCTAAGTACTACAATTGATTAGCTGTGCACTTGCGGCTTTCATTTGTTTTTATTAAGGGTAAAACTTGTTCCCTCACCTTGCAGCACATCAAGGTGATTTGTCGGGGATTTGCCGGGGATTTGTTTCGCTGCCTTTGTTATTTTTCTTGTTCTAATTTCTGTTCTAGACATCTGATCTCTAGTTCCTTTTTAAGTTACTGAATTATCTTTCTCTTCTTTTGTTTTTCTCTGAATTGCATGAATACCAGACGCAGACCTGTAGAAAACATTCCAATTCTAGACGAGATAGACAAACACGAAAGAGAACTTTGAAGACTTAGACGAACGCAAGGAATGGCCGACGATGACCAGCCTGGAGATCCTGTTAACCGAAATTTAAACATGGACCAAGATGGGTCCGAACATGGTGAAAATGAAGAATGATCACAGAGGATGTGAACATGCTCGACGAGATGGAGAAGAGAATGAGATCCCTCCAAGAAATCCTCAAAACCGAGAGAGAGAAGAACGCGAAGACCTTGATGCACCTATCAATGCAGTCGATGGTAACAACCAGGATATGCAGCCGAATGGGCACAATAACCGCCCTTTTCAGCAAGCAAATCAACACTGAAGACAAGCTAGGAACCATCGCATAGCTGATTTCGATGCACCCACTCAGAATTTTCAAAATCGATCTGCAATCCAAGTATCATTTCCGAAACGGATTGAGTTTGAAGTCAAGCCTCAATTCATCTCTTCGGTGAAACAAAACCAGTTCCATGGAGCGCCTTCTGAACATCCAATGGATCAAATTGAACTCTTTGAAGAAATCTGCAGCATGATGAGAACATATCAAGTTCCAGCAGACTATTTAAAGTGTAAGTTGTTCCCTTTTTCATTAGCAGATAAAGCTCACTGTTAGTTGAAATCTTTGCCTGCAGGATAGATCACTAATTGGGAAGAATGTAAAACCGCTTTTTTGAACCACTTCTATACTAAGTCAAGGTCGAACTTGTTGAGAATCAAGATCTCAAGTTTTCAGCAATGACCGTTTGAACCTTTCTATGAAGCATGTGAGCGTTTTAAAGAGTATGAACGTGACTGCCCTCACCATAGATTTCCCGGATCAAGCCTGCTGAGCACATTTTACAGAGGTTTACAACCAAAATACAAACTTTCACTTGATACAGCCAGCAATGGAGATTTGGGACAAAAGACGATAGCATACGGAAGAGCCTTCATCAAAAATTTAGCTCAAACCAATAGCAATGACTGTCCGGAATACAAGCGATTGACGAAGCAGACTGGAACGGATAACAAGGAGATAACCGAGTTGAAGAACATGATGAGCCAGCTTTTGAAAAGCCACAATCATCCAATCCATGCTTGTGAGGCCAACAATGGCGTAGAAGACGAAGGACCTTGTGATACCGATCACACTAATCCAATCTTTCAAAAAGAAGAAGTGAACTATGTAGGAGCTCAAACACTGTATCCGAATCGCTTCCACAATGGTTTCAATAACAACTTCCGGAATGCAAACTACAACAATCTCTCTTACCGCAATCCAAATATGGAGAATCCTTAAGACCAGCATTACCCACCGCAGCAGAAACCCTTCCAAAACAAGTTCCAAGGTGGAAATTTCGGAGGGACTAGAGTCTTTCAGCCGCGACAACCATACAATTACCAAGGTACGGGATTCAACAATCAATTTGGACAACATCAATGAGTTACAACAAACCAGGTAGCTTCGTAAATCATAAGACTTGAACAGTCTATCCAACAGCTTGTTATGACAAACGAGAAAGCAGCTAAAGACATGAACGTGAAAGTGGATTGCATGTACAATGACCTGAACGGGAAGTTCGAAGCTTTATCTTCTCATGTCAAAAAGCTAGACGTACAAGTTGCTTAAACAGCCAACTCTATGAAGAGAAAAAATGGAGCTCTTCCCGGGAGAGTTGAAGACAACCCCAAGAGATTTTGCAATGCCATTACTACACTGCCCGAAGAAGGAGCCAAAACCGATGGAAAGGACAAAGAAACCCCATTCTTTATACCTCTCTACAAGAATGTCGACACAAAGCAACCACCATTTAAGGTATCTGAACGTTCCGTGCTTCAACGGCTTACAAAAGCGGATGACTGGGACGTTTTTCTTTTCAATGTTTCATTTCAGGAATCAAGTTCACAGACTGTTTATGCAACTCCGGAGCCAATGTCAACATCATGTCGAAGACGTTTGCCAAAAATTTGGGGATAAAGACCTTAAGGACATCGACAGTTAAGCTTATCTTTGGAGATTCATCTAAAAAAGATACCGAAGGGGCGATTCATGACCTGCATATTCTAGTTGGGAACAAGATTGTTCCAGCAGATTTCCAAGTTCTAGAAATGGATTAAGACAAAGAGAGACCACTTATATTCGAACGACCGTTTCTAGCTACAGTAGCAGTAGTAATCGATCATGCAAACCGGCATGCTGTCTTTCTAAATGTAGATCGCAAGAACTTTTATCCCAATGACTCAGACGATGTTCCAAGCAAAGGAAAACGGCCAAAGGAGGAAGACAAGGAGAAGGCGAGACCTTTTGCGAAAATCAAGATCATCATTCCACCAGATTCAGCAGAGTCTAGTGAGGAACAGATATCAGAACTGATCGAGAACGCAAAAAGGGTTTTAAACAACGTTAAAATTGGAAAGAAGAGTAAAGGAAAGAAGCCGGAGCTACAAGAAGAAGAAGCAAAACCTCCAGCGCTCGGAAATGATAAAAGCACATCAAGTGGAGTGCCACTTTATCCAGCCTGATCTTTTAAGCCTGAGTCGAGCTAAACGACTTAAAAAAAAGCGCTTAATGGAAGGCAATCCATTTAGGTACATTTTCTTTTAGTTTTCTTTTCCTTTATACAATTTATGTTTTCTTTTTCTTTTTAGTTTCGTATACTCTTATAAAACAAAAACACAAAAAATCAGAAAAATATAAAAAAACCAAAAATAATGAGAGGTTTTTAGCTGCTCGGCCCGGCAAAAACCTGAGCATAGACGAAGGCCGCAGGAAAATGGGCCGCAGTCGCGACCAACCGATACGCAGCCAACACATGGTCGACCGCGGCACCGTGAATGTGACCATGGTCGGACCCTTGTTCACCACGGTCGCGCGACTCCTGACCGCGACCGTTGGTCGTTGAGATGGGACCTCCGATTTCTGTTACTTTTCAGAGATTTTTGGTGATTCCGGACAATTCCCGGAACATTCCCGGGACAGCCCATTCCGATTTTTCACAAGTTTTTAATTCCCGATTGCGTATCAAACAAGTGAGGTAAGTTTCCGTAAGCTTTTGAATTCTTGAAAATTTCTCATTTTTGCCACAAAAACGCTTTTTAAAAGAAAGTAAACGCACTTTTTGGATCAAAACGTTTTTTCTATTCTCTTCCAAAAGACTTGGAGATTTAGGAGTTATAACACTTTTTTCAATTCTTAAGCTTTTTAAGAGATTTTTGGACCAAACCTCACTCTTTTTCAATGCTGATTTCAAATTTATCTTCAAATCTCTCTTTCCAGCAAGGTATGAAGCTCAAACTCGTCATTTTTAATTGATTTTGGAATTTAGGGTTTTCTTAAAAAGCTCAAATATAGGTTTATTAATCGTACAGATAACTTAAGAACAATAGATTAGCCTTCTAAGTTGCCTGGAAATCGATTTTAACACCTACTTTAAGAGGAATTGAGAATTTTGAAATTTGGATTCTACATGTTTTGTAAAAATCGAATTTGGAACAGCAAAATTGATGAATTTAATCAAATCTGGTTTGATTAGTGATTAGTATTAGGTGACCTATAGATTTGACATAGAAATTGCTCAATTAAATCAATTTTTAGAAAATTTCTGTGTTAAGATCATCAAAAATCCGAATCTGGTCATGAACTACTCGATTTTTCGATTTGATATCTATTATGCTTGCTTGTTGTTTTAACTGATCTCTTGATACTCTGATTAGTATCACTGATCGTTAATATGTTAAACTCAGCATCCAAATTCACTCATTTTCCGCGAATCACCTTGTCTTGTAGGAAAATGGAACAAACTGAATCTCGAAGAAGCCGTCGGACTGGTGACAGCTCCGAGGCAATACCTGATGATAGTACTCTTGGAGAGTACATGCTGAGCCGAGCCAGACCGATAACAAGAGGTCGATTGTTGAGGCTGCTCCAACACTCAAGAGAAGCCCATGCCATTCCCGAGCCACCAAAGATCAGATACATTGGGAAGGAGATTAACCCAAGAATCAATTATGCAAGGCGTTTCAAGAAGCTAAACATCAAACCAACGCCCTGCATTGATTATCATACACTTGAGATGCTTGGGATTAGGGAAGATGTCATCTGGCACATCGATACACTTAGGCTGAGACCTTACATGGAGCTTAACCTTTCAACTTATGCCGAGCTACTTCGCGAGTTCTTAGCAACCGTCACCCTTCACCACACAAAGAGGAGGAGCCCTAGAGCATCTGACAGTGTTTTATCATTCTCTATCCGCGGACAGTCCTACTCACTCACCATTTCTGCACTTTTTGAAGCTCTTAAGCTTCCATACACTGATGGCATTCACCTTGAAGAAGAACCTGATTTTGACTTATGGAGAGAGATAGGTCATGGTGTCTATGATAGCGGGAGATCCAAGTCAGCCCTTCTTACTCATCCTGCAGTGAGAGTTGTGCACAAACTCTTAGCACACATGATTTTCTCTAGAGCCAACATGGGGTGTGTTTTGAAGACTGAGCTCATTACACTTCAGACACCATTTATGGACAACCCTCGACTTGCCTGCTTTGCATGGATCATAGCACAGAACATGGTGAAGGTAAAGCATGCTTTACATTGATGTGAGGACGCTACTACTGCTTATGGAAGCGCTATTACAGCCATACTTCCTGACGTCTGGTATGACCTACTCTATCTGTCTCGGGATCACACTATCTCTCGAGCCATTTTTGATCCAGATAGGTTCGATTACAAGTATTGCACTGGCACCGAGAAGCACCGAGTTTGCTTACCTTCAGCATCAGTCTTGAGACTGAGTAACGGAGCACGCCCATGATGGACTCCGGGACTTGATGAATTTCTACGTTCTGTACCGCATCTGCCACTCACTATTGGGCAATACATAGTAGCTAAGGCGAAACGCGACGCAGCTGCAGCACGTTCTCACTATCAGCCATCAGTTTCCACCGACCATACTTCATCATCTACATCATCACGCACACAGTCTGACCTGGAGCACAGAGTTTGAGAGACATGGACGACGTTTTGAGCACGTTGTCACATTCCTGCAGGAGCAGCACCAATTCGAGGCGGACACATCAGAGGAAGATTGATCAACCAGCACTTCATCGTTATTTGACCACCATCATGGTTCTATCATCATTTTCTTTTCTTTTCTTTTATTTTATCTTTTTAGACGATCTCGCTTTTATTCACCATCTTCTCACCAACTTTTTCACACTAGTGACAGTGTGATTTAAATATGGGGGAGGATGTCTATCCGTACTAATCACTTTCTTGCTTTGTTTTCTTTTTTTAAATTTCAAGTACTTTTTAAATTTCAATATGTAACCTATGCGACCTTTAGTATTTTTCAGAAATGCTTGACACAAAACTATGATGATTTAGACCTGCACGCTTCTACACTACGCATGATAGCTCATTTGTGGTTAGCAATAGACTAGGTGGTAGTTAAAGTACTTGCATTACGAACTCCCACCAGAGCATTTCTATTTATGGAGATTCTTTCTGACAGGATATACTAGCTCATTTTATTTGACCTTAGTATTGATATCTAATTTTCTCATCAGTGATTATAGGCAGGCATCGAGATATACATCTAAGACGTCTTTTCTTCACTTTTACCATTCTTTGTCGTCCTAGATGGCCAGCAGATGTGTGCAAAAATGTCGTAGAGAAGAGGAGCGATGCAGTTTTCAGTCACTCAAAAGAAAGACTGAATGGAATTGGGAAGGATGAGTATCAGAAACCTTATCAAGTCTTATATCGCCTCAGAAACTCATTCTTATCGGTAATTTCGTGCTCTCTATGACTCTATATCTAAAGGTGT